TCAGAGCCACTCATACCCGATTGGACAATAGTTAGAGGCCAGACAAACTAAGCCTTTTGGTCCTACAGGTTGGAGGTTGGAATGATGGTGGCACCTTATTTCTTATAACGGACCCCTTGTACTCCAACTCCAAACCCGCTGCCTTGCCGTAAGGTTTCTGAGTCAAGGGCCTTGTTTGAGAACCCTAATCGTTCTTCTGTCTAGGCCTGGGCAACCTGACAGTATCCTGCCTACGCAGTACAATGACTCTCTCTTCAAACAAATTCCTGATGCTCTTCCCACCGCAGAGGATAATATACGGTACCCTATCTGTTGCATCGAGCCGAGTGGATAGGGGTTTTGATGCTACTGCTCAAACCTTTCCGTCTTCTTATTCCCCTTCTTAATCTTTTTCTCCCTTATGGACCCGTTCCACCTTCACTTTTATACCCCAGTTTTCGACTCCCTGATTCTTCGCCCTTCCCCACCATGCTTTGCTAGGCGTTTATCTTCTAGTTTCAACTTACATACTAATGCGGAGCGTCACTCCTGTCCTGTCGATAATCCCATGTCTAACAAAGCGGTCCGCCAGTACATCGGCTTCCATTTGGAGCCCTCGATCCTCCTTCAGATTTGCATGCCTCAATGTACGCACATTACTACAGATCTGTCAACAGACCGCACTTGCCCGAACATTGGAGATCCTCTCGATCGATATATGTTGTTTATCGGAGACCCGCCTGCAAGACTCGAGCTCAATGCTCACTTTGCGATCCCCTTTAGATGACACCAGCAGTATTTTCTCGATGCGCTTATCCGGTGACGATGCAGTTTCGAGCTCCGGCCAAGCTGGTGTTTACATTGCCCTGAGTCCCCGGGATGAAGCTGATCTGATTGATTGGATTCCAATCAGTAGCCGGATGTGTGCGGTCCGATTGACTGGCTCGTTTAAAGCTTCGAAGTCGCGCGGGACTAATAGATGTCTATTCGTCATCGCTGCCTACGCTCCCACAAACTGTAGCGATGATCCGGTGAAAGAGGACTTCTACCGCCAACTGACCGAGCTCCTTCTTCACAGTAAAAGCACGGACACTGTTGTGCTGGCTGTGGATCTGAACGCACAAGTTGGTAACTTGTCTACTGATGAAATGCATCTGGGCGGTCAGCACGGTGTAGGCTCCCGTACAGGTAACGATGAGCGGTCACTTCATTTGTGTGAGGATGTTCGTTTATTTCTTTCGAGCACTAACTTCCGACACAGCACTCGCCGGAGGGTGACTTTGCGCTCACCAGCCTTGGACGCAAATCGGTCACTTTGAGATGAGTTACCGCTGGAAAGACTGTATCCGGAATTGTCGCTCGATTTGGAGCACATGTGTGGACACCGACCGTGCACTTGTATGTGCTGACCTACGGATGCGCTTTGGCGGACGCCCACGACGACGCTGTGAGCGCATTGACACCAGCCAACTGACAAATCCAGTTTTTCTGCATACCTATCATAGTACGCTGACATGCGAGTTGAGTAAGCGCGTACTGGAGACATTTGATGGTCACTGGTCACATGTTTACCAGACCTTACTAGCAGCAGGCAAGTCCTCATGTGGTAGGTCTAATAGCCAACATGGACATTGGGTCCCTTCGCGGTCACTGGAACTTATTGATGCTCGCCGGCATATTCCCACTGGAAACGAACACAGTGAAACTCCCAAAAGCTCCGGGTAAACTGCATGCTAGCCTAAGAGAGACCTCGAATCTTGATGGTCTCTTCATGCGTCAGAGATGGAAGTGGCCACTGCCCTTGGTAACCATCAAAAGTTATTCCGTCTGATACGGGAAACGGGCAGCAGAAGACCCGGTGTTAGTGAAACAATTTGTGATAAGAGTGGCAGCCTATCCACAACTAGTCAAAACGCTTGGAGCGTTGGGCTGAGCACTTTGAAAGGTAACTTAATCGGTTGGAATTGTCAGGTTTCTCGCCGGTCACTGATCTCCCTGCACACTGGACTGTCCCTTTGAATCCGCCCGCTCGCTCAGAAGTCGAACATGAGATCGGACTGTTGAAGTTGAACAAAACCGCGGGACCAGATGATCTTCCTCCAGCCCTCTTCAAATTCGGGGGCTCTGCTCTTGTTAATGATTTACATGAATGACTAGTGAAACTGTGCGAGCAGGGAACTGTCCCAACCGACTGGAGCCGCTCTTTTATTGTTCCCATCTTCGAAAAGGACTCGTGTTCGGATTGCAGCAACCATAGAGGAATCAGTCTGATCCCCATCGCCTCCAAATTACTTGCCTCTGTAATCCTTCACGTACTGACTGACGCTCGTGAAAGCCAGGTTCGTGAGAAGTAAGCCGGATTTCGTCAGGGTCGTGGCTGCATTGACCACATCTTCACCTTGCGTCAGTTGTTGGAGCACTGTCAGACATATTGGCATCCCACCGTACTCCTGTTCCTCGACATCAAAGGTGCCTTCGATTCGGTTGATCGATGTGCCCTTTGGAACTGTTTATTCAGGAAAGGTGTGCCCGAGAAATATGTAAATATTATCCAAGCATTATGCGCGCGTATCACGGGCAGAGTGAATGCTTACGGCAAGCTGTCGCCGCTCTTCAATATCACCAGCGGTGTGAGAGAAGGATGCCCGTTGTCACCTTTCCTTTTCAACTTCGCTATTGTTGAAGTCATGAAGGTAGCATTTACAGGACACGACTTAGAAGGTGTGGAGATCCTCCCAGGAGAACGAATTCTTGACTTGGAGTATGCAGACGACATTGCCCTCATCTGTGACAACTTCCAGACGTGCCAAGCCACGCTGGACAGATTAGCACTGGCTGTCAGCCGCTTCGGGCTTTGCTTTGCACCATCGAAGTGCAAAACTTTTCTCCAAGATTGGCAAGGATCGCCTCCTTCGCTGTCCCTTGGTGGGGATCATCTAGAAGTCGTTCAGAAATTCAACTACCTGGGAAGTTGTATAAGCGCCCTTGGGATTGAAGATGAGATCACGAACCGAATATCAAAAGCTCGAAGTGCTTTTGCTATTTTTCGCCACTTATGGCGGCGGCGCGACATTACTCTCGCCCTGAAGGGTGGAGCATTCACTGCAGCCGTACGTTCCGCCTCACTGTACTTTTGCGAAACCTGGCCCCTAAGATCGGCGGACATAAAGAGGCTAGTTAGGTTCGACCATCGGTGCCTTCGGAATTTGGCTCACATCTGGTGGGAACATCGCGTGAGCAACGAGCGTGTTCGACGCCTTGTTTACGGCACAGGAAAAGGAATTGAACCGCTCAGAACCGTCATTTCACGTACTAGGCTCCGATGGCTAGGCCACGTGTTGCGCATGCCAGCCCACCGACTCCCGCGACGTGCGTTGTTTGCTCACCGGGGATGTGGGTGGAAGAAGAGGAGAGGTGGCCACACGATGACTTGGTCAAGAGGAATGAAGTCTCTCACTTCGGAGTTGGCCTCCGTTGGCGCTTCATGGCTCCCTGTTTGAAGTCCAAAGGACGATGAACACCTTTCGCTAGTTACACTTGTTGATATGGCTAAGAGTCGACCTCCGTGGCGTTGCTGCTGTGAGTTTCTTCGTCCCTCCCCATCCCTTTAGGCTCCCCCTCTAACTGCTATCTCATTTCGTAGCGTAATATAATTTTGCATAATAAGTTTTCTTGTTGCCTAGTAGCCAGCTGGTAGCTTTTCGGAACGATGCCCATCCGTTGCTGGTAGCTCAGCTGGCATGCAACTGCTATATTTCTATTCTTTTTCTTTTACTTATAGCGACACAGTGGCTGAGGTGTTTCCTACCTCTAGCATACGTGTATATTGATGATTATGATGAGCGTGTGTTTTTTTAGAATGTGGCCCTAGCGACATCAGAACTTCAGTTGGTGTGGGTATAGTGGAATCCACATGCAAGTCGCGTCTAGTACTATTTCGTAAAACACCGTTGGTTGTTGTTGTCAAACGGGAAACACGCAAACGGCTGCTCACTGGAATAGAGTCAACTAACAATGCTTCTGCCTTTGAGCTGAGAGTGATACTCACGCTAGCTTGACCAGTGCTTGCTACATCAGTGTCTTCAGGTATGTGTAACCAGTAGCGAGAGGACAAACTAGGTGTAGTCGGTTCAGCAACCACATGAGTGACATGGATCCTAGGTTCGAACACGCAACATACGCCAATACCCAGGGTGTCCAACGTGCATACGGATGCACTCTGTTGACCTATCGCCCTAGAGTAGGAACCTTGAACGCCGCTAAGGAAATGGGACAGCGTTATATCACAAAGAGCTGTCACTGACATGCGTCCAGTGGGTGGTGCGGGAAGATAGTTGCAGATGGTAGAACTGCAGTGGCATTGTGGTTGCTGTCAATTAAACTGTGTTATAGTAAAAAGGTTAGTAATTGGGTCGGGTGGGGAGTAAGAAAAAAGATGGAAAGGCGAATACAGGTGTCAGCAGTAGCATGTTTTTGCTTATTCGCCATGCTGACTGCAACAGATAAGATGACCTTTGATAAGCCTCGCGACGGCTGATTCACTATATGGTTACTGTTTGAGGGAATGGTCCTGGTTGTACGTGAGCTGAGATACTGTCAGGGCGCCCAGACCTAGACAGTCCAAGCATTTGGCTCAAAAACCTTTCCGCAAGATAGCGACGAGGTGGCAGTTATTTAGTTTTACAGTAATGGATGCCATCACATTTCCGACCCACAGTCTGATGGATCAGGAGTTGCGTTTTGTGACCTCTAACCATTGACGCATCTGGTAGCAGTAACTCTCAACGGACCCGGGGGCACCACCCAATATAGCTTAATGGGTCTAAGACGTACGCAAACCGTCATACTACGTTAAGGTTCAGCCTCGTTGCAACAGAGTATTATGCTATATAGTCTCTCTAAGAACCCGAGGTCTTTGATGTATTTCCCGTTAATTTGAACTCCATTGGCTTGTCCACGTTGCAGTAGGCTGTGATCTACTTGTTTTCTTTTGTGATTGTTTTAATGTTTTGCACTTTTTAGCTCTTCAAATGGGGAAGCATGGACGGAATTTGAAAGCTTTGCTGCATCCTCACTATATCGTAAACGTGTTACTGAGCATATTGTTTTTCGTCACGAAAACGGTGACCCCTATTTGTTCTGCTCTCTACGAAAGCTGTGAAATCAATCTACAAGAATATGAGTTGTTGATTTTTCTCGGCAGTTTTGTGGCTCTACGCAACAAACGACAATTTTGTGTCACCGATTACTTATCACACTTTTGTCTGTTTGCGAAACTTGTTAACCTCCTTATGTTCTGGAAGCAGAATGTTGTGTATGCCATTGGTTTCGCGGTGCTGTGGCTTCTGCAAGCCTGCTTCCTTCCACAACCCATGTATGAGGGACCCGACCAAGTATTGTATCTTCGCGATTCCACTTTTGAGCGGGAAGTCTTGCACGGAGACTCGAGGACAGCATGGTTGGTCACCTTCTACACCGCATGGTCTCCTGCTTGCATCAGCTTGCAGCCGATTTTTGCCGAATTATCTAATGACTTTGGTTCAGAACATTTGAAATTTGGTAAACTGGACGTCGCACGCTACCCGGAATTGGCCACTAAACACAACATTGACACTTCTAGTTGGTCCAAACAGTTACCCACCATCATTTTGTTTCGTCACGGTCGTGAAACGGCCCGTCGACCAGCCATCTTGGGTACAACGAAAAAGTCTGTACAAAAATTTGTCTTCACTTGGGAGAACATAATCAATGGTTTTTCTCTAACCGAACTTTATTCTGAATGTAAAAGGTCACACACTACCAACAAACACCTGCCAGTGGAAGAAAAGAAATCCCAATGATTTACCTTGTCTTTACTAACACTTTACTTTCAGAACTCTTGCTGTAGATTTTTAGCTATTGTACTACTTTCGAATCGGGCGTCTGGCCTAGTCTCGGTCCTTCTTCTCGAGAGGTGCATACGGCAATTCCTAAGAATAGGTCGTTGACGCTGATTCCATTATTTTACTTCGAATACAAACTGAATTACTTCAGTAACACTTTGGAAACAGTATGTGATCAAGACTCGCTTGTCTAGTAACCTGTGAAACTCTACGAACCATTGTGTAGCGAATTTTGGATGATGTGTTACCCACACAGCTGTATTCATCAATCGAGACATCTAGATCCACAGTCACGCTTTCTCTCACCCGATATAACTTTACGTGATTAAAACATTGAAGAACATCTGATTTCTTATGGATCATTGTGCTGTTTGACAATTCGCGCAGCTCTGAGCCAAATTTATGTAAATATATGTATTCTGCATTGAGTCAATACTACTTCCTCTTCACTTTCCTCGGTCGATTGGATTTTCGGAATTCGCACTGCTTTGCTTCTCTGGCCTATCGTTAAGCTGATCATATATATATATATATATATATATATATATATATATATATATATATATATATATATATATATATATATATATATATATATATATATATATATATATATATATTACACAATCTGTGGTACAGATATTGTGCCATCGGTTCATGGCTGAATAGGAAAACAATATGAATAATAAGAAAAGAGCAACAAGAAATGCTTTTTTTGTCAAGTTTACCACTCACAGTTTTTGAAATTTTTTTCAGTTTGTTCTTTTTTAGGGGGAGGAAGAAGGGACACCGCAACACACTGATGCACACGTCCGCCATTGACATCGATCTTGAGCCATAACTTCCAAGGTTTTCAACCAGCAAGTATCCTCATCTCTCGGACCCCAACCAGGTAGTCGACAACAACCGGCCGAGGCCAATTGTTTCGTCAACTTTTTCATGCGGCTTCTCCATGTTGTAGGCTGTCCACCAGACCGTCTCTTCCAGCCCTGCTTGCAAGTGCAAACAACGAACGACGGGCGTAACGCTGGACAGGCATGCGCAATACGTGTCCCAACCACCGCAGTTGATGCAGTGAGATGAGCTCCTCGAGCGAGTGGCTTCCACGTCCCAAGACACGCTGTCTAACTTCCACATTGCTTACATGGTGCTGTCACCACACACGGGCAATAGACCGCAGACAGCGGTGCTCGAAGACGGATAGCCTGCGCTAGTCATCTTTACGAATGGGCCAGGTCTCGGATTTGTACAACAGTACAGCACGGACAGTTGCACAATAGACCCGCCCTTTGATGGAGAGACGAATGTCGTGGCGACGCCACAAATGCCTCAGCCCAGAAAAAGCGAGGTGTGCTCTCGAGATGCGCATCGAAATCTCGTCTCCAACAGCCCCGCCAGCAGTGATGCAACTTCCCAAGTAGACAAAGCTCTCCACAACCTCCAGTGTCTCACTAGCAAGCGTGAGTGCAGGCAGAGGCACCTGCCAGTCTTGAAGGAGGGCCTTGCATTTGGATGGCGAAAAGTACATACCGTACTTTGATGCTTCAATCGTCAAGCGGTTTAATGCAAGTTGGACGACCTGTGAATCGTCACCCAGCAAGACGATATCATCAGCATAATCCAAATCAACAACTCGACTACCTGGGAGGAGCTCAACGCCAGTGTTCAACGAATCGCTCAGAGCGTTCTTCAGGACATCCTCAATGTCAAAGTTGAATAGGAACGGAGAGATAGGGCATCCTTGTCGAACTCCACTGGAGGCCACAAAGGTAGGCGAAAGCATGCCATAAGCCCTAACCCTGCCCGAGGTCAGACTGTATAGAGCGCGCAGTATGGAGACGAACTTCTCGGGGACACCGTTCCTCAGAAGGCACTGCCACAGTACTGTACGATCGACAGAATAGAAGGCTGCACGGATATCCAGGAACACAGCATATTGAAACCGGGACCAATTTTGATCATCAGGAACTTTGTGTCAGTTTAGATCAGACTTCACTGACCGTCTACGTATCAATAGCGCTGCCTTTGAAGTTCATTCATCTACAAATTGCTGTTTTAAAGTATTCTACTAACTTGCGAGTACAGTATGGTAGGCATGTTGGACGGTTGGTCCTGTATGACTAGTGACTACCAGTTCTACATATGACACACAATGGATTATCAATGTCAAACCGCGCGGGATCGTGTACATACGCTCATTCGCGGAGGCTACAGAAAGACGTGGATGGAAGACACATACAGGGATGAGCGTCAACGCAGTAACTCACCAAGTATACGAGTGCATGCGCATATTGACGGAAGGTAGAGAGTACCAAAACAAGAATAAATTACGTGCAGTCGAGTTGTAGCAATATTGTACATGAAAGATGGAAATTATCCAATGGGTCACTAAAGTCCCTCCCTATCGGCGTAAAAGTGGGTTAATCTGTGGCTCGCCAGCATAGAAATTCTATTCGATCCCTGGTATGTTCACAGCTTTTCGTAAATGTGACGGGAACAACGCGTCAACATTTGTTCTATTCACCATTTTATTTTTTGGCCAAGGAAGAACGAGAGGATCAACCAACCACTAATTCACGCTGGGCAATTCGCTACGCATGCTGGCACCCAGACTCCTGCGAATTACGTTGTTTGCGCGACCTGAGTATTAATGGAAGAGGAGAAGGGGGATCTATCCGACAACTTGATTAAAAGGAATGAAGACTTTCGCTTCAAACTTTCCCTCGGTTGGAGCCTTGCGACCGCCTGGTTGGTGTCCGAAACACGATGAACACATTTGGTTGAAAGTACTTGTTAGTGTTTCCTATGGGGTGTGACTCTCTGTCCACCCTTTTCTCACGGCCCACCTCTTAATCCACGATCTCATTCTTGATACATGATAAAAACAAGGCATAGTACTGCATGTTTCTTTTATAAATTCTGCCTTTTCTTGAGTTTTAGTGCGACATAAAAACCGAGGCGCTTTTAAAATCCCGTGGGCACGCTTTATGAGGGTAGTGATGGGCAAGGTAAGATTAGCACTAGTATTACGCATAGCGCATTGCTTTCAAAAAAGAGGAAGGAGTTTCGATGAGTATTAGATCCATAGTGTTTTTGCTGCGAAGCCCTACCTCAATGTACCTGTTTCAGATCCTAAACTGTTTAGGAATTGTAATCACCACTTAATGCGGTGGTGATAGTCAGACTCGTCGTGTCGATATATGGTTAGTGGCATATGTTCCTGGATTTGCTTGGCACTGAGCTGCCACAGGAGGCCTGCTCATAGTGAGAAACCATGGCTGTTTTGCTCTGCACCATCCACATTTCCATCAACACACCACATATCCAATCTTAACCCTAAGGAATAAGACCGGTAGTCATGTGGGTTGGAGCCACGATTGACTCAGAGCCTAACCGCATTTCTTCAAAATGCACATCATTTAGTTGAACAGGTGAACTATGCATGCCAGAAGTACACATGACTGTATCTGGGCCGTATCCCGTTCCACACTGGATGGGACCACTCTTTGAGCCTTAATTCATTCATTTATAATGAATGTTAGCTAGAGGTGGAAAACTCCTCAGCTATTGTGCTGCAATACATAAGAAAACAAAAAGACAGGCACGCCGGCTGAGTTACCAGTAACGGATGGAAAACGTTCCGGAAAGCTACCAGTCGGTTGTTGTGCTGCCAAAGGAAGTTACATTATACTTAGTAGATGAGATCGTAGTTGGTGGGGGAAGCTAAGCGCGTGGGGAGGGATAGGCAAACTTACAACACAAACACCACTGAGGTCGTCTCCCAGCCATGTCAACAAGTGTATCTAGCCAAACATCTTCATCGCATTTCTGACTCCAACCAGGGAGCTGAGAGGCTCTAACCGAGGCCAACTTCGAAGTGAGGGCCTTCATTCTCTTGGCTAAGTCATCACTAACCCTCCCCTCCTTCTTTCATCCACACTCCCAGTGAGCAAGCAACAAACGTTGCGGGAGTCAGTGGGTTGGCATGCGTAGCAAGTGGCCGAGCCATCGGAGCCTGGTGCGTGAAATAACGGTGCTGAGCGGTTCACTTATTTTTCCTGTCCATAAGCAAGGCGTCGAATACGCTCACTGCTCACGCGGTGTTCCCACCAAATATGAGCCAAACTGCGAAGGCACCGGTGGTCGAACCTAGCTAACCTCTTTGTGACGGCTGATCTCATGCGACAGGTTTCACAATCGTACAGTAGGGTCGAACGTACCGCTGCATTGTACACTCTACCCTTCAGGAAGAGAGTGATGTCGCGCCTGCGCCATAGGTGGCGAAGGTTAGCGAAAGCACAAGGTGCTTTCGCTATGCGGTTTTTGATCTCGTATTCAATTCCAGCGGTGGATACAGCCGCCTAGCCAGTTGAACTTTTGAATGACTTCTACCTGATCTCCACTAAGTGTCCGCGCAGGATCCGGTCCCTGCCAATCTTGGAGGAAAGCTTTGCACTTTGAGGGTGCAAAGCATAACCCGAAACGACTGACAGCCAGTGCTAACCTTTCAAGTGCTGCTTGTTATGTTTGTGAGCTGTCACCTATGAGAGCAATGTCGATAGCTCGTCGCAAGCCCTCACTCTGTCCGAGCTACGCGCGTAAAGCGCTCGGATTATATTTACATATTTCGGACACACCTTTCCTGAGTAGACAGTCCGAAAGAGCCCATCGATCCATTGAATCGAAGCCACCTTTGATGTAGGAGAACACGACCAACGGTGATCCGTTAATATGTCTGACGGCTTTTTAACAATTGACATAAAGTGAACATGTGATCGATGCAGCCCCGGCCTCGCCGAAACCCGGCTTGCTCTTCATGTCTCTGGCTCTCACGATTGCCAGTCACTATGAATGATGACAGAGGTAAGCAAGTTGGAGGCGAGGGAAATCAGACTGATTCCTCTATGCCGCATTTTGAACGTTAGCCTACCTTGAAAATTGGGACTATGACAGAGCGCCTTCAGTCGGTTGGACAGTTTCCTGCTCCCACATTTTCGCGGTTAACTCGTGTAAATCGTCAACAAGAGCAGGTCCCCCGAATTTCATGAGGGATGGAGAAATCTCATCTGGCCCAGCGGCCTTGTTTAACTACAACAAGTTGATTTCACTTTCGACTTCTGAGTGAGAGGATGGATCTAAAGGGACAGCCTAGGGATCAGGGCGATCATTGGCCTGCGAGAAACCTAACCATTCCGGTCGATTAAATTGCCTTTCAGATTGCACAGTCTAACGCGCTAAGGCTTTAGACAAGTTGTGGATTGGCTGTCCACTCTCGCCACATAGTTGCACCAGGTCTCCTGCTGCCCGATTCCCCTATCAAACGGAATAACCCCCAATCGTTGGCAAGGACAATAGCCACTTCTATCTCTGACACACAATGAAACCACCAGAAATTACGCAAGCACTTTTGCCCTGAGTTCTTAGCGGGTTTCATTATGTTTGCTTCCAATCGGAATGTGCTGGCGAGCATCGATAACTTCCAGAGACTCGAAAGTGACCCAATGTCCATGTT